TAGCATGAAATTCATGTGGGGAGGGCGGGGAGGGATCCCGCAGGGATTGGGCCTAACCAGCAGTCGGACATCCCTCTCATCTGGGACTACTGGCTCCTAACCACTCGCCTGCCTGCCTGATCTCCCCTAACCACTCTGCCTGCCTGCCTGTTGCCCCCTAATTGCTCCCCTGACTGCCTGATCACCCCTAACCACCTCTGCCTGCCTGCCTGATCGCCACTGCCTCTGCCTGCCTCATGCCCCTAACTGCTTCCCTGCCTGCCTGATCGCCCCTAACCACTCCGCTTGCCTGCCTGATCACCCCTAACCACTCTGCCTGCCTGCCTGATGCCCCTAACTACTCCCCTGCCTGCCTGATTGCCCCAATCACTCTGCTTGCCTGCCTGATGTCCCTAACTACTCCCCTGCCTGCTTGATTGCCCCTAATCACTCTGCCTGCCTGCCTGACCGCTTCTAACTGCCTCTGCCTGCCTGCCTGATGCCCCTAACCGCTCCTCTGTCTGCCTGATCGCCCCTAACTGCCTCTGCCTCAGCCCCCGCCACCGCAGCTTAGTCCGGAAGGACCTCTGGGATTTTGTTTGGCTGTCCGGTCTAATTAGCATATCATGCTTTTATTAGTATAGATTAGCAAAGAATTAGTAGAGGGTTAAGTATAATTTTCCTTCAATATTAATTTGATTTGTAAACTGGAGAGTCTGATCATTATAGTAGCAAATGAAGCCAGAAAATATTAGCTATCAGTTATACAATAGGACTGTTTGTACTCAAAAAATATCTCAGATGCCTTGTCCTCAAACCCATGGTCAAATGCTATGGCCTTCTGTCCAAAAGCCCATTTTCCCCACACAGTCCATGTGATTCTCCCCATGGCTGGGCACTTGCACTCCTGCTGCCCCAGGATGACTTGATTTCTGAGTCAGCCTCGATCTAAGCACAGCTTGGTTCTAACTCAATTTTCTCCCTTTTTGGCATCAACATTCTCTACAACCCTGTCATTTTGGGATTCTATAGTTCATTATGTTTGTTTTTTGTCCACCAATATAATTGTCAGTAAATAGGAACCTCTCTGAGGCTCAGTTTCCTCAGCTGTAAAATGGAACTCTAGCCTCAGCATTATACAACCGCATGTGCACTACAAGAAACATACCATGCAAAAAGCATTTCATCGCATCTAAATAACTGTTTTCTTGTTTTTTAAGGTTTATGCCTGGCCTTCTTTCAGTCTTCCACAAGCACAGTCACATCCCATGTCCCAGTGTGTGTTCTAAGGTACAAATCCAAAAAAATCCATGTTCTGGACCACTGACAGCAATTCGTCACACTCTAGCTTCCAACTTGCTCAACACGTAAAACAAGTACTACCGAAGGAGCTGCAGGGACACAACCTCCGAGGTGCATGCTGTTGGTGATTACTCACAAGGAAGCAACCTTACTGTCAGTTTTATCTTGTCTTCTCATCATTGTGACTCAGTCCCTGCTGTCCCCATCTCCTCAAAGTATGTGGTTTGGTGCTGGTCTGGGAAAGCTTTACCGAGGTCCTAACTGCCTAGCTTGCTCAGTATTACCTTCTCCGAAACCTAACACTGGGTATGTGCCATAAAAAGCAAAGCAAAACGAAACCTGTCCAATCTTAACTATCTTAGATAATTCTATTTGGATTTACCACAGAATTAAGTCAAAGAGTACAAGACTGGTCAATAGTACAAGTCATAGTAAAAACCTTAAAACTGATAGAATGTTTATGTATTTCACACAAATAAATTTTTTTTCTATAATCCAAAAGAAATATTCTCTAACTCCATACCTAAAGGAGACATTTTGAAATTCATAGTACTTTCAATTCAAGGGCCATACACTTGAAGAGAATTCTTAATTAATACAGAAGTGTTCCTTGTTGGTCCTTCTGAATAGCATCAGAAGGCACCATTAAAACAGAATGATTATTATTTCTATAATATGTTTTCTTATTAAGAGTAGATAGAAAAAATGATGATGAACTTGCATCTCTACTTTTAAGTTCTCTTCTACTGTAAATCCATATTACTGCTCCAAGGGCAGCTTACCATAGAAGAAAGACAACCTCAAAGGTTATGCCAAGGATCCGACATAAAGAAATAAACTCTTCAGTCAACAATGTGTCTATAGCAATTTGAAAAAATGTAAAGCCAGGAAGAGCCTACATCTGAGAAGAAGACATCATTCTCTCTGTTCATATGAGCAAAAGTGATTCTGAATCACGTTTGGCCTTGTTTATGTATGTATTCATCTAGCAGCACTGTCCAACAAGGTGGCCATTAAACACATGGAGCTACTTAAAATAAGTTAAGTAAAATTAAGTAAAATTTAAAATTGAGTTCCCCAGTCCCACTAGCCAAGTACTCAATAACTGCGTGCAGTCAGTGGCTACCTCACTGGGTAGCGCAGATACACCACATTTACATCATTGCAGAAAGCTCTGGTAAGTAGCGCTATGTGGATTAAAACAGTGTCTCTGAAAGGCTAGATTACAGACCTACTAACTGTCATTCACTCAGGTTTTTAAGAGATGTAAAATTTGATAGGTAATACAGTGCGTGGTCTTTTTAGGTAGGGTAACCACATCTTTTTACCTGGGACCCTTCAGTCCGCAGGCCAGCACTCTATCTACTCAGCCAAACCGGCTAGGGCAAGGGTAACCACATCTTGGCTTTTCTACAACAATTCTAGTATAGCTTGTATTTGTATTACTTGCAATAACATGACTCATTAAAGGTAAAAGTAAATGGTACAAATTAAATTATTTCAGTAGGACTTTTTATATAAATAAATAGACAGAATCCTTTGTCATACCCTGGTCCCAAATGTTGATGCAAGAAAACAAACAAACAAAAACAACCCATTTATATGGTGAGTGTAGCCAAGAAACTGCTCCTGAAAGACCTCTCCTTTCTCTAAGTAACTCTAGGTACCCCCATGCCTGTGCTGTCACTCACCGGAAGCTTGGGGCGTCTGAGCTGGGTGGAGCGGCGGGGCCGCCTCCCTGCTGACACCTGCAGGGAAGAAAGTAAACTCTCTGCACCACCACTGGGACTCCAACTCCCGACCACGTGGCAGCTCCTTGGCTTTCGACTGTGTCCAGGAGCGAGTCGCTCAGGGGCGCTTGAGATGAGCAGGGCCTGTGGGTCCAGTCTGTCCTCAGGGTGGGGAGACTGCACAGAACCTGGCCAAGACACGCAAGGGAAGATTTCATTCCGACTCATGATGGCACACACTAACAAATAATGATATTCTTAGGTAATCCCATGATGTAAATGCAGACACTAAAGGAAAAACGCCCAAGGTTACCTAGAAGAAAGTGGCCGAGGCAGGACTGAACCAGAACACCTGTCTCCAAAGTCCATACTCTTAACCACTAGGCTATACTACAGCTTCATTATCGCTGTTGCTGAAAACATACTTCATGAAGTTGAAGCAGTAATACACTTTGAGCCATATTTTAAATTGATTAGAGAGTTCTCTTTTTCATATAATTCCCTCCAAACACTCATTTTTTAAAAAGTTTATCACCTATATTGTTTAAAAAATTGATTTTAGATAGAGGAAGAGAGAAAGAGAAAGATATTAAGAAACATCAATTAGTTGCCTCCTGCATGTGCCCTGACCAGAATTGAACCTGCCACCTTCTGGTGTATGGAAGGATGCTCCAACCAAGCCAAGGGAGATTCTGCTTGATTGCACTTATACAAAACAGGGTGAAAATCTGTCTGCTTTTCTATCTTTCTTATATTCCCTCATGCTGTCTGTCACTCCCAGCATTCCATTCAGTGCTGAATCAAGTAACATGGCGACCTGAGGCAGGTGCACTAGGAGCCACAGAGCTTGGAGGGGTCCCAGGAGTGCACTTCATGCCTACAGCAAGGGAAGGATGGTGGTTCCCTAAACTCATCTTGGCAGATGATCATGGCTCAGGGCCAATAAAATGCCCAAAACAATCTCCAGTTTATAATCTCAAGTTTATGCAGCTCTTTTTATCCCAAGTGATACAGATATTGTGAAAAAGAAAAATGTATTTTAATAAGAAAAGAAGGCTTAAACAAAAATCTTAGGTAATTATAAAATGAGAACAGAAAAAAATCAACACTTATATGTATATATATAAAAGGCTAATATGCAAAATGTCCCCTCAGGAGTTTGACCAGGAGACTGGGAGTTCAATAGCTCGCTATGACGTGTGCTGACCACCAGGGAGTGATGCGGAACGAAGGAAGGCCCCGGTGGGCAGCAGGCAAAGGAAGGCCCCATCGGCCCTGATAGCTGGTCAGGCCTAGGGACCCTACCTGTGCACAAATTTCGTGCATTGGGCCTCTATTAATAAATTAGAATAAATATTAAAATTACATAAAATACTATAAAATATCACAACTAAATACTGAAATGAACTATAATTTCTTTAGGCACAGCAATAATACAAGATGTTCTAGCATATATATTAGCTGAATATTTGAAGTAAGACCAAAAGTAAACATCTTCCCTTATAATCCTTTCAAATATTATTACAAAGCATAAAACGTCCAAGCCAAAGAGAGTTACCTTGCTTTCAGGTGAATTATTTGTTAGACTCTTAAATCTAAACATCTGGGATAAGGTGATGTTTCTTCTTGGAAGGGGTGTGTCCCCAAAGCGCACTTCATGTGTTGTTCTTGAATCTTCTTTGGCAACAACTTTCTTACAGAAATAAGTATTCAGAATAACAGGGCAACTTCCATTTGGGATAATAAGCTTTTGCCTGGAAAGGGGAAAAAATACAACAGTTTATTTGCAAACCCGGATTCTCCTTATGTTCTTGCAAATCAGGAACACAAAGAACAATGACTTGCCTGCTTCTACAGATAAAAGCTGCCCTCACATACTCAAGAGTGACTGTCAGTGGGTCTACTTTTACTTTTCCAGTGAAAGTTCTGTGTCAGGAGAGGGGCTAGTGCAGCTGTGGGCAAACTACCGCCCGCGGGCCGTTTGAAATGAATAAAACTAAAAAAAAAAAAAAAAGACTGTACCCTTTTATGTAATGATGTTTACTTTGAATTTATATTAGTTCACACAAACACTCCATCCATGCTTTTGTTCCGGCCCTCCGGTCCAGTTTAAGAACCCATTGTGGCCCTCGAGTCAAAAAGTTTGCCCACCCCTGGGCTAGTGCCTGGGCTTCTCTCAGATCCTCCTACTCTGGTAGAAGATGGCCTTAGGATTCCTCAGGGAGAAATGCAGGGAGTGAGCAAAGACTATCAACAAGCTCAAAGAATTAGCCATTAAAATAAATGCTATTAATCTCTTAACCAAAGAACTTATATGCAAATTTGAATAGCCCAGGGACACAGGCAATAGTGTGGTGAAGGCCTTGGGAGGGGGCAGGTGTAATACTTTCAACAAAAAAATTTAAACATTAAAAATAAATAATAAATGCTATTTACAAATAACACCTTCATACATTCTGACAGGTCTAATCTTTCAAATACTGTATTTTTCTGTGTATAAGATGCTCCCACCCCAACCCCCGTTTCCAACCCAAAATTAAGAAATCAATATTTTTTGCCCTAGCCAGTTTGGCTTAGTGGATAGAGTGTTGGCCTGTGGACCGAAGGGTCCAGGGTTTGATTCTGGTCAAGGGCACATGCCCAGGATGTAGGCTGGATCCCCAGTAGGGGCCATGCAGGAGGCAGCCAATCAATGATTCTCTCTCATCATTGATGTTTCTATCTCTCTCTCCCTCTCCCTTCCTCTCTGAAATCAATAAAAATATATTTTAAAAAAAGGAAATCAATATTTTAAACATATTGCTGGTTTTCCTCTTAAGGTCTTCTTCTTTTTTTGGCATCTTAAGGAGTTGTTCTTTCTGTTTTTTCCACTCTCTGATCATACCCTTAGTGGGAGGAGGTCCAAATTGTCTCTCTGCAGCTCTATTTCCATGCTCTTTTGCATAGCTGATTGCATTCAGTTTGAATTTTGCAGAGTAAGATAATCGCTTACTGGTATTTATCTTTTTATTTTTTAACATCTTTATGGGCTCAGAACACCCCAGTCCCTGTTGCATCTGTGCACTCTCCACCTCCACCTCCAATTACAGCATCAGCTGACGTCAGTAACAATAAGGCTCGTGATTGGAGGAAGCCTGTTTGACAAGGTATGGGCAGCTAAGCACCTTCACAGCTCCCTCCTCAGCTAACTTCAGTCTAACGATTTTAGAGAAAAAAAAACAGCGTCTTAGCCCTGACCTGTTTGGCTCAGTGGATAGAGCGTCAGCCTGAGGGTCCCGGGTTCGATTCCGGTCAAGGGCATGTACCTTGGTTGCGGGCACATCCCCGGTGGGGGGTGTGCAGGAGGCAGCTGATCGATGTTCCTCTCTCATCGATGTTTCTAACTCTCTATCCTTCTCCCTTCCTCTCTGTAAAAAATCAATAAAATATATTTCAAAACAAAACACATAGCGTCTTATACTGGAAAAATATGGTAACTTGACATCAAATATCAAAGGAATACACCCAAATGGACCACAGTCACAGACATGCCTCATATTTAAGTAGAGAAGTTTGGGAATATAAGAGACATTCTCCTGGTTCCTTTCAGACATCTGATTTGAGAAGACCCTAACACTTATGCCTCAAAACACAATGCTGCTTAACATTCGGAAAGAATTATGACTTCCACTTCTGGGAAGATGGACTAGACATATGTCCTCCTATTTCTCTCATTAAGTACAACTAAAGTGCCTGACATTAGACATAAATAAATATAAGAAGACACTGAAAGGTGGAGAGGAGGAGGACAACAAGTTCCTGGGTTTTCTTTTTGCCTCTTATATTTCAGACTTGGAACGGAGGAACCTGAAAATCTGGAAACAGTAATGGGTACAGATAGGAAAAGCCTCCACAGAAGCTTAATCTCTTCAACCAAAGGACTAGGGAAGGAGCAGCCCAGTGAAACAGAAAGCTTTCAGAAAACAACTGCTCTCCTCTAGGCAAACATCACAGAAAAACTGTTACCCACCTTCACGCACACCAGCAAAGGGTCAGGGGGAACCCAGACTTCCACCCTCATCAGCTTGTAATAGGGGTCTCCATACCAGTGGTCAGCAAGCTCATTAGTCAACAGAGCCAAGTATCAGCAGTACAATGATTGAAATTTCTTTTGAGAGCCAAATTTTTTAAATTTAAACTATATAGGTAGGTACATTGTTATTTACTTAATTAGGGTACTCCTAAGGCTTAGGAAGAGCCACACTCAAGGGGCCAAATAGCCACATGTGGCTCTCGAGCCACAGTTTGCCGACCACGGCATAGCCCGTGGTGGTGGTGTGAGAAGGCGGGATAGGGGCTTTCATCCCTGCAGGCTTGTAAAGAGTTTCCCCACATACACACTATACTAGTAACAGTGGAGCCCACCTGGACTTCCACCCACACCTGACACTAGTATTCAAACATCCCTCCTCACCCCCCTGGCACAGAATCAAGCAGGCCTGGCAGAATGTCAGGACTTCAACCACTGCCCAGCATTACTGAGGCCACCTTCCACCCTCCAACCTTTTCCAGTGTTATCAGTGGAAGCCAGGTGGGAGCAGTAACAAAGCTCCCTCCCAGCCAGGTTGATGTCAGTGGAAGCCTAGCAGGAAGATGGAACTCATGCTGCCCAGCAGTAACAAGGAGTCCTTTCCCCTTCAGGTACCAATGGAGGTCAGTGGGAATCTGAACTTTGACTTCCACCTGGCAGTAATAAGCAGCCCCTGCTTCTTGTCTCAGAGCAGTACCAGACAAAGCCACATACATAGATTTAAATAAGGTCCAGATGTCAAATACCCCAAATGGACAGGTTGCCATAAAAAGTCACATGTTATACTAAAACAAGGGGGGAAAAATCTCACCTTGAATAAAAAAAGGCAATTACTAAATGATAATGCTGAGATGAAACAGATGTTAGAATTATCTGACAAAGATATTAAGGCAGTCATAAGCATGCTTCAATGAACACTTATAAATGCAAACAAGACAAAAATAGAAAGTTTCAGCAAACAAATATACAGTCTTGGCAAAGAAATATTTTTAATGAAATTTCAAAACTACGAAATACAATAATTAAAAAAACCCTCAATAAATAGGTTCAACAGCAGAATGGAGGGACCAGAGAGAAGAATAAGTAAACTTGAAGATAAAATAATAGACTTTAACCAATATGAACAACAAAGAAAACACAGACTGAAAAAACAATGAGCAGAACCTCCAGATCTGTGCAAAGAAATACAAGTGGGAAAATATAGGTAAGTATAACAGGCTTTTCTACTCCTGTTGTTTTCGAAAATTTATTTGGATTTGAAGCAAAATCATAACACTGTCTGATATGGTTCTAAATATATGCACAGGAAATATTAAGACAATGATAATATAAATGAGGACAATATAGGGATATAAGAAATAAGATTTCTACACGTCACACAGAATGGCCAATTGTTGACCCAGTAGACTGTGATAAGTATATATATAATGTAATGACTAGACTTGCAGTGATGGTGAACCTTTTGAGCTCGGCGTGTCAGCATTTTGAAAAACCCTAACTTAACTCTGGTGCTGTGTCACATATAGAAATTTTTTGATATTTGCAACCATAGTAAAACAAAGATGTATATTTTTGATATTTATTTTATATATTTAAATGCCATTTAACAAAGAAAAATCAACCAAAAAAATGAGTTCGCGTGTCACCTCCGACACGCGTGTCATAGGTTCGCCATCACTGGTCACTAGAGCAACCAATAAAATAGCTATAAAAAGAGATATATACAAAAACATAAAAAAATTAAGACAAAATTCTAAATAATGTTTAAGTAACCCACATGAAGCCAGGAAAAGGAAAGCAGAGAAAGGAACAAACAGAGAATAAGACAGAGAAAACAAAAGGTAGATTTAGTCCTAATATATCAATAATTGCATTAACTGTAAATGGTTTAATTAAACCAATTAAAATATATATTATCAGCCCTGGTTGGGTAGCTTAGTTGATTAGAGTGTCATTCTGATACACCAAGGTTACAGGTTCAATCCCCGTTCAGGGCACATACAAGAATCAACCAATGAATGCATAAATAGGTGGGACCACAAATCGATGTTTCTCTCTCTCTCTAAAAAAGAAAAAAGATATAGATAGGATGAAACTAAAAGTATGGAAAAAATATATCATTTAACACTAATACAAATATAGTGCGAAGGAATACTATTACCACATGAAGCAGGCTTAAGAGCAAAAAGAATTATCAGAGACAGAGAGAGATATTAAATAATGATGAAAGGGTCAGTCCACCAAGAAGACATAGCAATCTTAAATGTGTGTGCACCAAACACCACAGATTCAGAATACATAAAGCAAAAACTAATGAAACTGGAAGGAAAAATCAGCAAACCCTAATTAAAGGGGGAGACTAGAACACCCCTTTCTCATTATTTAACAGAACAACTAAATAGAGTATCAGCAGGTTACAACTGCTCACATAGAAAATTCAAGTAATCAATAAAATAATTCCTAAAACTAATAAGTGAGTTCAGCAAGATCATAGCATAACACAAAACTAATTTGTGTTTCTATGTACTATCAATGAACATGTGGACACCAAAACTAAAAATCTAAATAATTTATAATTGCAAAAAAACAAAAAACTTTTGATATAAATCTAACACAACATGCACATGACTTGTATTCTGAAACTAAAAAACATTGATGAAATAACTCAAAGATTTTAACAAATGA